ATTGTAGACATGATGCTTGTCGAAGCCTCTTTGCTCCATGCATTTTGTGTTCGATATCTTGGCACGTCATGTTCTTTCACAAGCCCAATAAGATATGACTTCATCATGTGATTCCACTTGATCTACTACAATTCTTGGTGGTATGACATCGAAAGTGCAATTTTAGCATTATAAGCTATTTCTCTCTAATCCATGTAGTCATTTGGTAACAGGAAGATGGGGGAAAATGATTAGTTCCTATCGCCCCGCCGCGTTGACGACACAAAGCTCCTGTTCAACACAAACCGGGGCGCAATTTTCTCGTGTTTTCCACGCCTAGGGAAATGATGGGGATCCCTTGCTACCAACAAGCCCCGAGTGGCTAGTGCTCGGGAATCGATTGGGGCAGTTGGAGAACAGTCGATTCAATGTTGTTGAGTACTGGATCGATTGTATTGGTGGCCGGCAGCGTGCGTCTAATCTATGGGCCTTAAGTGCAATTGTGCAAACGCTGCAGCCCAGCCCAAACTTCTTGTTGGGATATCCTCCTCATGTGGGTTGTGAGGAGATGACCATTTGAGGCCTTTTAGGCAGCCCAAAGAGGTGCAGAAGCCCACTACCCATTAGGTTTATGACCTAGGGTCATTTTGGACTTTGCACATGAGTGGATGGGGATGCTTTACCCTCCATCCAGCAGCCACCATCAAGAGTGACGAAAATCAGTTCATCCTCCAAGAGAGAAGAAGAGAGAAAACTAAGAGAGCAAGGGAAGAAGAGGAAGATTGAAGGAAGAAGCAAAGGGAGCTCCTCCCCAAGGTTGTGATGGTCCAGATCCACTACCTTGTCTCCTTCAAGCTTCGGTTCCACCATCTTTGGTGAGATTGTTCCAATCCCTAGTTCTTGAGCCCCAAATCTTGTTGTGTTCATCCAAGATTCAAAAATCTTGATGTATGAGATCCTCTAGTGCTATCTAGAGAAGAACTTGTTGTATCCCACATTTGATAATAATGGAAGAGGATTTGGGTGGCTTCGGCCCGTGGTTTTCCCCCTCAAGTTGGGGGGTTTTCCACGTAAAAATCTGGTGTCTCTTTGTTGATGCTTGTTGCTTTCCAGAAACTTACTCCTACCACAAGACACTGGGCTGAGGGGTGTCGTGCCTACTAAGTAGCATTTTCTGCCTCCATATATGCTGATGCATATATTTCCTTCCGTCGTAAGCAACGATCCTTGAGTTAGTACATGATGTGGTGCTGAGATTACCTTGTTTCCGCTGCAGTTTTCAGTTAACCACAAGTGCATTAGTGTGCTAATTCCCAACAGAGTGGCATGAGAGCCTTGGTTGCTTAGAAGGTTTGCAAATTCCAGCTGCTTGATTGTTGCTGGAAGAGCTACTCACAATGGCTTTGGAAGAAAGCGCTACTACAAGTGGCATGATAAAACTTGATTCCTCCAATTAGTCATTATGGAAGCCCATGATGGAAGACATCCTTTATTGCAAAGATTTGTATGAGCCAATTGTGAAAGATAAGATACCCACCGGTGTCACGGAAGAAGAATGGAGAGTGTTGCACAGAAAGGTAGTAGGTATGATTCGGTTGTACATCAACCACAATATTTTCCACCATGTTCCAAATGACACAAATGCTTATGAGATGTGGCAGAAGTTCAAGTCTACATATGAGAGGAAGACATCAATGAACAAAGCCTCGGTGATCAAAAGACTTGCCAAGCTTGAGTACTGAGATGGCACAAGCGTGATTGAGCATTTGAATGTCTTCCAATGCCATATAAATCAACTTTCAGTCATGAAGATCAACTTTGAGGATGAGGTGCAAACATTGTTGCTGCTGAGTTCCATGCCTGATAGTTGGAACATGCTTGTTGTGTTACTTAGCAATTCAGCTCCGGATGGGAAGCTGACTTTGGAGATGGTGAAGAACAGTATGCTGAATGAAGAAGGCAGAAAGAAGGAAAAGGGTGATGCCTCTTCTTATGATGCGTATGTGGCTGAAACCCATGAAAAGAATGAGAACCATGGACGCAGCAATACAAGATTTTAGCAAGGCAACAACAAATCTAGGGGGAGATCAAAGTCAAAACAGAGAAAATATATTACTTGCTTTCATTATGGCAATCCGGGACACATAAAGAGCGAGTGCAGGGAGTACAAAAGAGAGCTTGCAGAGGGGAAACTCACAAAGAAAACGGAGCAAAAGGCTGAGAACAGTTCAGCGATGGCAGCAATAGATGAAGACTATCTAGTCATCGAAGATGAAGATTTCTATAGTTGTTCGTGATGATGCCATGAGTTGGGTTGTGGATTCAGGTGCGTCCTTCCACATCACATCACACAAGGAGTATTTCACATCTTACACTAGTGGTGTTACTGGCCAAGTGAGGATGGAAAATAGTGGTTCGTCAACAATTGTTGGCAAGGGCTCTATATGCATTGAAACAAACATAGGTTGCA